ATGTGAATCTTGGGAAACTACAAGAGATATGCCAAGGGATACCAGGAAGTGTAAGCAAGTGTAAAAATGTTGATGCATGTTCAGTTTGTATGCAGGCCAAACAAGTGAGACTCCCTTTTGATACAGGAAGAAGTAGGGCTGGAAGGCCATTAGAGATAATTCATAGTGACGTGTGTGGACCAACTGATCCCACCAGTTATGACAATAAGAAATATTTCCTTACGTGTGTGGATGATTATACACATTTTTGTAAGATATACGTGTTAGAAAATAAGAGTGAAGTGTATACCTTTTTGAAGGAATGTGTAAATGAAGCTGAGTGTCACTTCAATACAAGAGTGAGAAGAATAAGATGGGACAGTGGAGGGGAATATAAGAACAATGCCTTGAGAGAATGGTGTAAGAAGAAGGGGATTGTAATGGAATTTACTACCCCATATTCGCCACAGCTAAACGGCACTGCCAAAAGGATGAACCATACCATTGTGGAAAAGACAGGAGCATTGATTTTTGACTCAGGTTTAAGTAAGAGAATGTGGGGTGAAGCTGTACTCACTTCTGCATACCTGCTAAACAGAAGTCCAACACTGACAGTGAATGGAACGCCAGCGGAAAATTTGTATGGTAAAAGACCAGATCTGGCTGGATTGAAGATTTTTGGTTCAGAAGTGTACACTAAAATTCTCTGACCATTGAAAAAGCTGGACAGTCGTAGCAAGAAAGGAATATTCGTTGGCTACAACACAAATGGCTACAGAATATGGGATCCAAATACTGAAAGGACCTATGTCTCCAGAGATGTGACATTCACAAGTAAACCTGTGACAACAAATAAACAAAAGGAAATGGAAAGAGTGACGGATCCAGAAGACAAGCCAAATACTCCAGATCAGGAAGATAGCGAAATGCAGCAAGAACCCGAAGCTGACAACAATGAAGAAGAACCAACAGATACTGAAGAAAATGAAAATGCTGACCACAAGGATAATGGAAGGAAAAACAATGGACAAAACGAACATGGATATGCATTGAGACCAAGAAGAAACATTCAAATGCACCCAAAGTACCAAGACTATGACGCAGAGAGTCAAAAGGAGGGTATGCTCACCTATATATATGACAAGTGCATGGAGAGCGAAGACAGCAAGAAGTGGAAGAAAGCCATTAAAGAGGAAAAGCATTCGCTCTACCAAAACAAATCTTGGATATATGTAAACAGAGAGAAAGCAACAGGCAAGAAAATCCTGACCAGTGAATGGTTTTTCAAAATAAAGGATGACGGAAGACACAAAGCCAGACTGGTTGTGAGAGGATGTCAACAAAAGGAAGGTGAAATAGATTTCAAGGATACCTTTAGCTGAGTTGTTGACATGCATTCTCTTAGAGTACTGTTTGCCATAGCAGCATGCAAGAATATGAACATGCAAACCTTTGATGTGAAGACTGCCTTCCTGTATGGAGACCTTGAGGAGGAAAACTATATGGAGATACCAGAAGGATACAAGAACACTGGAAAGATATGTCTCCTGAAAAAGGCATTATATGGCCTAAGACAAGCACCATCGAAATGGAACAAGAAGTTGACAACCTTTCTAAAAGAAGAAGGTCTAAACCAACTAAAATCTGACCAATGCATTTTTAAGAATGATGCCAGTAGTTTGTTCATGGCCATTCATGTGGATGATGGGAAAATCAATTCCAGATAAAACCACAAATCCAAAAGTTTATTTAGGAATACAAATTGAGAAGCAACCAGATGGGATACATATCTCTAAAACCAACTATGCAAGCCAAATGTTGGAAAAATAGAACTTGCAAGAAAGTCGAGAAATGAAAACACCCGTGGCCACGACCCCACCAACCAATGACGAAGGAGAAAATGACATAAGATTTCCTTACAGAGAAGCTGTAGGAAGCCTGCTATATATGGCATTGGCTGTAAATGTGGAAAGTCGAACCTTGGAAATTCCTGACAAACTAGCTGTGAAAAGGACCCTTGGGTATGTGAAAGTTACACGAGCTTCAGGAATAAAATATACCTCATCTGACTCCGAAACTGTGGAAGTGGAAGCATTTAGTGATGCTGATTATGCAGGGGATGTAAAGGATAGGAAGAGTGTAATGGGATATGTAATTATGATGTCAGGGGGCCCAATATCATTGTGCTGTAGGAAATATTGTTGCATTATCAACCACTGAGACCGAATATATTGCAGCAGCTGAGTGCTGTAAAGAATTGAAATATATAAAGACGTTGATAGAGGAGTTGACAAGAAAAAGGGTGGAAGCTGAACTGTGTGTTGACACTCAGAGTGCAATCAAGCTAATAGAAACTGGACAAGTAATGCGTAGGAGTAAGCACATATACGTTAGGTATCACTACATAAGTGAACAATTGAAAGAGAAACTGTTCTCATTCAAATATTGTAACACTGAAACTCAGGTGGCAGACATTTTAACAAAACCACTATCACCAGAGAAATTTACCAAGTTTAGAAACATTGTACTTAAGAAGAAATAGGTCTGATTTTGATAAGACTGAGAAAATTTTAATTACATGTACAAATTTTATAATCTGAAGACCAAAATTACTAAGTGTTATTCAATTTAACTTTGTAAAACAGCTAATAATGTTGACAACATTTTGAAATTAAGGAGGACATTGAGAAATGTGTTTGTAACACTTCGAAATTAAGGAGGAATGTTGAGAATCAAGTAATGTAAAAATGTTCAAGTTGGTAATAGTGATCTATATTCATTTGTTTTTGTTTTGTATTATAATAAAAAGCTCTTCTCATTCAATATGGCTGTTAAGTGATATGTAAGCACGACACGAAGAAAATCAACAGGTACAACATCTGTTTCCGTAGAAGCCCTGGTGTTGTGAAGAATATGGACTTCAACCCTGTAAGCAGAGATAACCTGACCTGACCTAACCTAATACAACCAATCCATGAAGGAACAGTGTGGTACCAACAATCACTGTTGAATTGTTTAGGGCCTGTACGGATTTCCATGCCAAGAGTCATGGGTTCTGGCAGGGAGGGAGGGAGCAACCCGGGCATCTGCTCCCCTTAGATTTTTTAAATAAATCATAATAAATATAGAAAGAGATATTAAATACAGTAATAAAAAATTAGAAGTTACTTTCAACTAAATGTATCCTTCTATCCTGAATATTCATCCCAGAATTGGAGCCCGAAGGAGCAGCAGCAAAATGTGGTGCACTGTATGTTGGAGATGCGATACTTTATGGAAATGGCCAGGACTTGAAGCAGGTAACTGTTATGATATTAATTCTAAATTATGGTCAGGGTTTCTGTGGCCTGTAATTTTCAAACCAAAAATAACAAAATAAAACTGCTTGTGGAACATGAAAATGTAACTCAAAAAGTTTTATTACCCATAAAATAAAACTTCTTGAATTACACTTTGACATTCCATCAGCAGTTTTATTTTGTTATTTTCGGTTTGAAAATTATAGGCCATGGAAACACTGATAGTAATTTAGAATCACCCTGTATTTTTAAGGCTAGACATTGAAGTGTAGTTCTGGGTTGGACTTTGTTTACTATAGGATTCTGACGATGGTGTATAACACATTGATATATTGGGTTTTTGGACTTCATCCATCGTCCTGGTTTTTAAGATAACTAATAAAAACACGACGTTTCGGAAACTGGATCTGTTTCCGTCCTCAGGTGAAGGAAAAACCTATTCTGTTGGGTCCGTTAGAAAGAGCTAGTCCAGTGATTGAGGCTAGCTCTTTCTAACGGACCCAACAGAATAGGTTTTTCCTTCACCTGAGGACGGAAACAGATCCAGTTTCCGAAACGTCGTGTTTTTATTAGTTATCTTAAAAACCAGGACGATGGATGAAGTCCAAAAACCCAATATATCAATGTGTTATACACCATCGTCAGAATCCTATAGTAAACAAAGTCCAACCCAGAACTACACTTCAATGTCTAGCCTTAAAAATACAGGGTGATTCTAAATTACTATCAGTGTTTCCATGGCCTATAATTTTCAAA